ACCTCTCAGGGAGGCTGTGTGACCACTTCTCAGGCTACAAGTTGGGAGACCCTCAGGTTGGTGGTGGACTCTGTCTCTGCAGGGGTGTGTGTGTGTGTGTGTGTGTGTGTGTGTGCGTGCATGCACATGTCCATGTGCACACGAGGCAGGAGGGATGAGGGTAGGCGGTGTAGGGGCCTGAGGGAAGGTGGGCCACATGGTGGAGATAAAAGTACAGAAGAGACCGCCAGGCTATGCTCAGGAAGAGGCCTCTGGTGGGTGTCTGAGACCAGACACGCTCCTAAAAGTTGATGCTCTTCAAGTCCATGGAGCAGCGGTACCTGCCGTCCAGGAACCTGGAGCAGAGCAGGTTAGGCAAGCAGGGACAGGTGTGGTACTGGCGTTTACGGAAGAAAGGGATCTGGAGAGAGAAGAGAGCAGAGACAACACCGTCACCAAAGGTAGCCCCACCTCCTGGCAGGAGTCTGTCAGCTCAGCTCCTGGCAAGTGCCCACCCTCCACTAATTCCCAGCTTCTCCTCACTCAGCACAATAATGTTGTTGTTGTTGTTGTTGTGTGCAGTCGAGTTGGCCCCAACTCCTACCAACCTCTCCTTGGGTTTCCGAGGCAGTATCACTACGCAAGTAGATTGCTCAACCTTCCTTTTGAGTAGTGGCTGGTGGGTTTGAACCGCCAGCCTTCTGGTTAGCAGCCAAGTGCCTTGGGCACTATGCTACCAGAGCTTCTCAGCATAATAATAGTGATTATTTATAGATGAGGAAACTAAGGCACAGAGTGGCTAAGCAATTTGCCAAAATCACACAACTAATTTGTGGAGGAGCCAGGATTTGATCCTAGGCAATCTGACTCACAACACTGTATGATCAGCCACAACTTCCAGCCACCAGCCTTAAAATCCACACACCGCCAGACTGCCCCCTTGCTGGCCCTGCACACATCTGCACATACTCACACGCCTACACACACACTTGTTGACTGTACATCACTTATTGCACAGTATTATGGATTGAATTGTGTCCCAAAAAAAATATATGTTCAATTTCAATCCCTGATACCTATGAACATGACTTTATTTGGAAATAGGGTCTTTGAAGATTGTTATTGATTAACAGGAGGTTGGTCACATTGAAGTAGACAGGGTCCTAACCCAGTATGAGTGGTATCCTTATAAAAAAGTAGAAAAGACACAGAATGAAGATGTGAAGAGACAGGTACAAGTCAAGAAACACTGAGGCAGAAAACACCTAAGGTCACTAGCAACAGA